TAAATAATAAATCGATACCTTCTCTTGTTTCGTGATGTAAATCACGTTTTCCAAGCACACGAAATCACTTAAGCCCTTAAATCTTCAGTTACAACGCCATAACTTACAAGTAAAATTCCTATAAAATTCCATCAGTAAAATTTATGACTTATATATATGGTTACCACTTTATACCATCAGGAATGATTACAAATTTAAAAAAAATATGAAATATGTTTCCTGACGATGACTGAATTTTAGTCGAAAGCTACAAGTTTAAAATGTTTATTTTCGAAGTTACTGTTGTTTTATATTTTATTAAAATACTCAGTGGTCCCCGTAATTTTTACCGTTTACGTATGACGTCATTGACGTACGTCGACGAATGTTTTCACGATTTCATGTTTGTCAACAGAGCCACCCCCGGTAAATTTAACTCTACAGCACTGCTGCAAAGCCTTGCAAAGTCTCTATTGCACTATTCGTACTATTCGTCGACTATTCGCGGACTATTCGCACTATTCGTCGACTATTCGCGGACTATTCGTACTATTCGTCGACTATTCGCACTATTCGCACTATTCGCTTCACTATTCTAGTTTTATCAATTGCCGCTTCGTACAAGAACCTCCTTAAAATCCAGTTTCCTACTGATTCACATAGTTCGTGTGTACTTCATTTAGATGGGCATATAAATGACTATCAATTTCTTCCTCCCCAGGGCCAGGTCTTTTGAGAGCTGTATACGTCGACTCTTCGTTTTCCACGTCTTCATAATTCGCATCATCATTGTCAGGATTTTCATCAATTTCTTCTGAAATATTTCTGTCCTTGTTCTTGTTCTCAGGGTTTGCCTTTGATGATTTCAGTCGACGATTTTGATAGATCAAGTATGCAATAATCACGAACGATATAATCAGCAAAATTGCTAATAGTGTTAGTGCTAACACTATTACTCCAGCAAGATATTTTTCAAGACCATCATCATTTTCGTCCCTGCCTGAAATTTGAAAGGATTAAGAATATTACCATGTAGTAAACAATGAGTGTGTGAGTTTTTTCAATTTCACATAACCAACATGGTAACTTCATTAGGACACTAGCCATGCTGGCTAACACTTACAGATATAAACGTTAAGAAAACTTTTGTAGAATTCTTTAAGTAAAATATATGTATCCATCTAACTAATCGAAAAAATCAAAGCTAAGGTTTATCTAAATCTGGACGAAATCTGTATCCGATTTACAAATATTGTTTAAAGTTTTTCCTTTCTTTTATTAATTACGTTTTAATGCAAAGAGAACACTGTCTTACTTCCATTAGTAAATTTCCCTTTAATTTCACTGTAGTTTCCAAAACCGACTTTAGTACTTGCAAGAACACGAACATAATATTTGGTTGAGACATTCAAGTTGTTGATGATTAACATCTTTTCCTTTGTAGTATGCTTTTCAAAGCAAGGTTTACATTCTTCATGTGAGATACACACAGTATAGTTGACGATCATGCCATTTCGTTTGTCTTTTTTAGGAGGTTCCCATGTAACAGATAATGATGATAATCTTTCTGCCGTCACTTTGACATTCAGTGGAGGACCTTCTGGAGCTAAACATCAATTTAGATAATATGGTGAGTTGTTTTATAAAATATAATATTTTATTACTTAGTGTCCTTAGAGGTGTACGGGGAGGGCGATTCTTTAGTGATAATGCATGACAATTCTGCTGAATATTAGCCATGATATGCGATAATAATAATATCATCATTGTGTGCGAGAGTTGTTGCAATTCCTTAAAACCAGCATGGTACCTTCCCTAGGGAAACCAGCCACGCTGGACAACGCGTACAGATAGAAAAATTAAGAATAGTTGGACAAAAATAAAGAATTAAACGAACATCAGACTAATCTTTCTTAAATGATATTGACGATCAAGGTTGTAGTTTGTAATAACCACAAATTTTCTGTTACAGTTTCATACCATTAAATAAGGATACCAGTCTATTAACCTATATTTGAAAGGGTAAAAGCTACTGGTTTTGTAAGAAATGAAAAAAAACTTTACACTTTGCAGATTCACAAATAATCCTATGAATTGTCTACGTTTTTATCTATTTCACCTTCTTCTGATGTTGTGAACGAAGTAATAGTCTCTTCACCAAAACCATGTTTATTTCGAGCAGCGACTGATATTTTATATGCAGTGTATGGAGTGAGTTTATCTAATTTGTATTTGTTGACTTTATCTTTGGTAGTATTCAGGATAAGAGAGTTCTCTTTTTTCAGTTTAATCCACACTCCTGTAAGATTTCTATCTCCTGTGTTCTCAGAATCTAGCCAAGATATTTCAGCACTTCTTGACTTGATGTTAGTGACCATGAGGTTTGAAGGTTTAACTGGTAACAGAGCTGGAAAGATAGGAATTATAATAAACTAACATTTTTATCTATGTGTTCCAGGATACAGGCGCTATAGGCACATCGAAAAAAAGACTGAGGGTATCGGAGATTTGAGTAAAACATCCCTAAATGATTTGTGTGTGAACGTGCAACGACAGTCAATTACATAGAAATAATTTAATTTGTTGATTTATATCCTCTTTAATGAGAAAAGAAAAATAACTCACTAGCTCCACAAATTTCAATTCTCATATACGAGGCTTTTTTCTTCTGTGTCATGTTTTACAGAAGAACTTGACCCAAATTTCGGTCTCGAGGTCGAGGGAACCTTATGTAATATGACGTCACCGTTCACTGCATTAATGTCGAAAAGTCCAGCTGTGGTATTCACGTGATCACCACACCCTGTCAACGATGGTATTGTGTGGACACGTGCAATATATGGAATATAGTCTTATGAATGTAAAGTAAACATATTAACAAACTACAAGACTCTATCTTTATATCACTGGCAACGAAGATCGATATCGAGAAAAACAAACGAAACTACATAAGGGGACTGGAAAAGTAATTCGGTATAAATCAACACATAAATACGAAGAATTACAGCCGACCCAGCGTGTATTCAACGATAAACGGAAATTATTGACACTTCAAACTTTACTCAGATATTTACCTCGGTTATTATGGCCACAAAAGGACCAAAGCTTAAAATCCTTCCATTTGATCCACACGGAGACAGGCTAAATTTAGGCAAACGTTGGGAAAGATGGCTGGAAAAATTTGAGCGAGATCTCAAGTACAATGGCTGTGACCCTGACGAAGCAGAAGCAGCGAAACAGCACAAATGGATTTGCTGATTTACGCTAGAATACAAGTAAAGGATATCCATGACTCACTGCCTTCCCACTACCAGGCCGCCGAGCGTTTCCAGCGAACAGTGGACGGAGTATCGACAATCGAAGGAAAAAGTAAATCAATATTTTCTCCCTCAAAAGTCAAATCACTTCGCCTTATTCGAGCTCATGCGAGTGAAACCGGAAGAAGGCGAAAGGACTTTGAACTATGCAGCAAGACTACGGAAAGAAGCCGAGAAATGTGACTTTGCGAACTGGACGGCAGACAAAACGATAAAATGTCTTATCATAAGCAACCTACATGACGACCAGCTACGATTGATATGTTTGCAAAAGGAGCTGACACTTGATCACCTACTGGAGAAAGCACGAAAGAGAGAAGATGCCATGGCCATGAATGAGGTCATGCACAAAAAAAAACGGGGAGAAAGAGAAGTTAAATAGAGTGAAGCAATGATATCCATTTAAAGGTCCACACCAACGGAAGGAAGAGATACAAGAAAAAGGCAAGTATGAAAGCAAAGGCAGACACAAATAGCAAGGCTTGCGCTGTGATAGTCGACGACACAAAACGAGAGGAGAATGCCCATCCCTAGGGAAAAGGTGTGACTTTTGCAAGAAAACAGGAGAGATTTCGCCAAAGTTTGTTTTAAAAAGTTGGTTGAAGAAAAGCCCAGAGTGATACCGATGAGACCGATTATGACGAGCAGGTAGCAAAAATCGCGGAAATGTATCCAGGATTCCCGTGACCAATGCACTTGACAAGCAACACAAACGTCGAGTATGGGCAAGCTACAACAGACGACCAGATTTTTAATGTGGGAACGCACCCAGCTCTGGTAAAATCTAAAATGAATGGTCGCGAGTTGACATGGCAACCGGACACAGGTGCCACAAGAGACATCATGGATGGAATACACCTATAAGAATATGAGAAAGAGGTGGTCACTAACAAGGGATGCTTCAAAGTTTCGCAAGTCATATGGGAATCTACCCCAAAGTAGTAAAAGGGACGATGAGGAGATACGAGGAAAAGGATACAAACGAACAATTGGACCACGATGAACACGAGGAAGACGAAGACTATAATGAAGTTGATATCGAACACGATAACGAAGAAGCAAACGATGTTAATGTAGAACCACCAATGGCAAGGCCGGAACGCGAAAGACAGCCACCAGCTTGGCTCAGAGACTATGAAACATAATTAAAGGTCTTAAAAAGTCGAACAGTCGTGAAACAAATATGCTTATTTATTGATATTATGTTTTGTTGCTATGTACTAAACGGAACATATTAAGTATTTTATAATATGGGAGGGATGTGGTATTCACGTGATCATCACACCCTGTGAACGATGGTATTGTGTGGACACGTGCAATATATAGAATAATTATATATAGAGAATTAGTCTTGTGGATGTAAAGTAAACATATTAACAAACTACAAGTCTCTGTCATTATATCACCACCAGCAGTTTTAGAGGTAATACTGTAAGAAATTTCCCCGTTTTTACCTGAATCCAAATCGGTAGAAACCACCTGAGGAAAATGGAATAAAATGGTTAAAAAGTCCCAAATAAAAATTATGTCTCAAGTTGGCTGAAAAGAACAGCTAAGGTAAAATACGATTATAGCATTATTACAGATTATAAATATTACTATGCTTTATGCAGCCAAAGTCAAGATTAAGAACATTAAAATCATTAGATCTGTTATCATTAGATATTTATCGAAACTGTAGTTATCTGGACTAAAATCCATCCAACATAAGCTAATCTTAACTTAACTGAACGAACAGATCAAGCTAGAACTAAGCTAAGTATATTTATACTGTATAGCTCTCTATCAACTCTAAACTTTTCTCCCTACAGGTCTAGTAAGGGTAATCTCATGTTGCTCTGCAATGTTTGGTAGAGCACCCTTCTCACATGAGATTGACACAAGATTCCAATCAGACAATCGGATATTGCAGGAATCAAACCCCAATCTCAGAGATGAAAGATGGATACGCTAACCACGATCCAACTAACATCTCACCCAAATAATGCCACAAAGAGACAAAGAGGTCGTTTTCGTATTGAAGAAAAAAAATGCTATGATCAATACCTTTCGAGCATTATCATTCTGGCCAATAACATTGATCTTGACTAGAGCTCGACTCTTGTGGCACTGGTTAGCTAAATCTTGCGCTACAACGACCACGCTGTATTTAGGACTGGTTTCATAGTCGAGTTTTACTAGTGTCGAGAGTTTGGGAACAGAATTTGACTTTCCAACACTGAATAATGATTTATCGCCGTCGGAAATCATGAACTCTAGGCTGAGAGAATATTACAAAAGATGAATAAATTTGGATCGTATGAGGTGCAGTGTATGTAGTATTTTACAATAAGCGCCGTAGTTTGTGTCTGAACTACCTAGAAAGGATATCTCAAACGTGGTGTTCCAGTGTAGGTAGTATTCTACATTATAACAACTACAGTGAAACACGCAATTTGAGTATCAGGCTATCCTGCACGAGGAATTAAAATGCCTTCGCGGGATTTTGTGGGATTCTCAAAATGTCATTGTTTCACTGTAGTTATTTTATAAAACAATTACCAAATGGTTTTCCAAGCAGGATAGCGTGATCCATGCACTTGGGATGTTGTTCGACTTTCGGAAAGCGTAAAATACAGTCGCCTGCGGCTCGAGTATTTTCACGCTTTCCGAAAAGTCGCGACATCCCTCGTGTACGGATCACGCAATCCTGCACGGAAAACCATTCGGTATTCCTTTAATAACCTATGATCAGGGTTTGTGTCTGAACTACTTAAAAAAACTCAAACATTGCGGGTGCACTGCATGTTGGTAGTATTCTATAATAACTTGTCGAGGTCTGTGTCTACGCTACCTAAAAAAATCTTAAAATATTTCCACTCCAACCCCTACTAGCTTACTTGTAGGAATGTTGTACCATGTTTAAAGTTATTATTTCGTGGGGATCGAGTCCCTCCGTGACATTAACTTGGAAAGTTCCACTGTTTACAAATAAGTTATCCCAAAATGATAACCTAAACTTGTTAGTGTCCTTTTGGCCTTGCACAGCGACATACACCGCCTAAATGATGGAAACATGGATAAGATTTGATGCCATTTGACACTAAATTAGCTTTGTTTATCCTTGATACGTCTCTATCAGTTCCAAACCGCTCTACATTGGGGTCAAGTAATAGTTGTCCTTTGTTACTACAGGGGATAAACTAAACAAAACTAACTTTTTACACCTGATAGCTCTATTAGTTCTAATCTGTTCTCTCTTGAGTCCTGTAAAAACCCATTTCCACTCACGAAAATTTTCCGCAGAAAGAAAATTTTGTAAAATGCGATTGGCCGACACAAATTTTCCATTGAAAATTTTCAACCTTTAACAATAATATTTTCGGAAAATTTTCTGTGCGTGGAAATTTTTCTTGAGTGGAAATGGGCTGTAAGGGTCTTCCCGTAATGATCCAGTGTTACTACAAGAGGGAACCTAAACCAAAGTTTTTGTGTACTAGATAGCTCAATCAGTTCAAGAATGCTCTCCTTTGAGGTCCATTATGAGTCATCTCTATTTATCCAGTGCTCAGTACCACAAAGGGAAACCTAACCTTAACTAACTTTATTAATACTGGATAGTTTCATCAGTTCTAAACTGTCCTCCCTTAAGATGCAGTACGGGCAATTTCGCAATGGTCCAGTGTTACAGCAAGAGAAATCCGGAGTACTTGGAGAAAATCTGCAGTGTTTCATCGCGGGTATGGACCCCCAGACACTCGGGTATTGACCCCCAGACGTCTGGCGGGGTCAAGATTTGGCTTCAAAAAAAATATAGGCTGTTTACCTGAAGGAAGCGTTCCAGTTACAGTATATTAATGTCAATGCTGGCAACTGAGGCAAAATTATAATCAGACAACTGCATATTGAAGGAATCAAACAATGGTCACAGAGGTAAAAGACACATGCACTAATCACTGTGTACCAACAACATCTACCAGTTGAAAAGGTCGAATTTCAAAATTTTACCTTCGTGACATTATTAACGGTCACTGAAACAGTTCTGGGATTTGTGTCTTCTTCATTCTTCACACCGGCCGAGTCCAATGGTCCGGGATTTTTACTCGTGGCAGATGCATATAAATGGCTGAGACCTAATTGAAAAAAAAAATCATCGTTGTACCACTGTTATAAATGTCCATAATTGAAGTCTTTAACTGAACACACTTTTCATTTACATTGTCCTTTTCAGAGTTTTGAAAATCTTATTGTTCTCCTTGTCATTCCAGTCGTGATCAAATAATCTGATGTTCAACTATCTTTTTGAAAACCCATGCTGTTTTTTTTTAAGTATCTGTGACATCCAGTCACGATCCAATGATCGAAATGTTCCATTGTCTTTTCATCGTTTTGAAAATTCCACTGTTCTCCATGCCATCCAGTCATAATCCAGTGAATGGAATGTTCCATTGTCTTTTCATTGTTTCACGGCATTTTTTAATACCATGGACTGGTGGGTCATTTGTCCCACTGGGCCCCTTCCTCTGCCCCACCACTGAAGAAAAAAAATGGCCTATTGCCCAAAAGCCAGGGCCCTGCGACCTGTATTGAGTAAATGAATTTAACATTGAAAAGAAGTTTAAAAAACAGAATTTGTTGGTGAGCATACTTAAACTTATGTTGTGTTTGAATGTTTAGCGTGCAATTTATTACAAATTTCAGCATTAAAACTTTGTTTTGAGAAAGCTAAGATGTTTTAAAAAATGAGTTCCCAGAATGCAGGAAATGCTATTTCAGAGACCCGAATTTTAAACATTTCCTGCGGGGGCATCCACCCAGACCCCCTACCTAACTCGTGCCTGCGGCACTCGCCTTACACCTTCGGCTATAGCATACTATGCTGGGGGGTGAGCTGGGGCGAGGAGAGAATGAGAATTGGCCCAGTTTTGCCCCAACTCTGAAGAATCCTTAAAAGATGCACTGCATTGTTTTGAGAATCGCACTGTTCTCCGTGCCATCCAGTCATGATCCAGTGATCGGAATGTTCCATTGTCTTTTCATTGTTTTGAAAAGCCCACTGTTCTTCATGCCATCTAGTCATAATCCAAAGATCGGAATGTTCCATTGTCTTTTCATTGTCTTGAAAATCCTATTGTTCTCCATGCCACCCAGTCATGGTCTAGTGATCGGAATGTTCCATTGTCTTTTCATTGTTTTGAAAATCCCACTGTTCTCCATGCCATCTGGTCATAATCCAATGATCGGAATGTTCCATTGTCTTTTCATTGTCTTGAAAATCCCACTGTTCTCCATGCCATCTAGTCATGATCCAATGATCGGAATGTTCCATTGTCTTTTCATTGTCTTGAAAATCCTATTGTTCTCCATGCCACCCAGTCATGGTCTAGTGATCGGAATGTTCCATTGTCTTTTCATTGTTTTGAAAATCCCACTGTTCTCCATGCCATCTAGTCATAATCCAATGATCGGAATGTTCCATTGTCTTTTCATTGTCTTGAAAATCCTATTGTTCTCCATGCCACCCAGTCATGGTCTAGTGATCGTAATGTTCCATCGTCTTTTCATTGTTTTGAAAATCTCACTATTCTCCGTGCCATTCAGACATTCATTGTTTTGACTTATTTAGGTTTATGTAAACGGAATATGAAATAACATACTAATAAACTCCTCTCGTTTATGTGATATATACTACATCAATGTAATTTTCTATACTAACCAGTCAAATCTCTGACTTCGATACTGACTTCATCTTTTGTGATGACATCAAATGTAGTTCGAAAATATTTAAATGAACCTCTTTCGACAGTTGTCTCCGCACCTTTGCATGAGTTAATAAGAGATCCCTCTAAATGATAAAAAAAATATGATAAATGATAAAAGATTTCTGTCTGTGCGCGGATGAAGCCCTGGTCAAAAGAGGATGAGAGTTGTTGAGAGTTAGCAGTCATGAATTGTTACATGGAACACTTCAAGCTCTAGATTAAAAAAGGTCGATGCGTGTTCCAACTATGTTTAACGTCAATAAAAAACATGATTTTGTTGAGAAAGCATTAAGAACAGCTAACCAAGGTCGAGTGACTGCCAACTCTCATAACACTTTATCTTCGTTTGACCAGAACTTCAATTCAACTACGGGTGCCCGAAAAAAAAAGGACACTGTTTGATT